GCGTCGATCGGCGCAGCCTTTCGGCCGCCAGGCGATTGATGGCGCAGGGGACCGTTCCCGCTCCGCGGCGGGGGCTCCGCGTGATGAGCCGCGCCGCTCGTTTCCGATGGCCCGGGGATCGAGATCATCGAGTGCGATTGGTTGAACGAGCGTGTGACAGGTGCTTCGAGATAATGGAGACGAGCGGCCCCGCCTGTGGGCGCGCGGGCGCACAAGGAAGTCGAACAGGCGAGCAGAGTGGTGCGAGAGAACTTGTGCATCTGCCGGCAACGAATTACTTATTACTCCCACTAGCACCAACCTCCGTTTCGTAGCACCACGTAGCACCACAAGTAGCACCAAGCGAGGGAGGGTTCTCGCCATTAATAAAATCATCATGCTATTAATGACGAATCTGATTCCGTCCAGGAATTACAGCATACAAGCATATAAGGACAAATAAAAGACCACTAAGCCTTTTGAACTCATTAAGGCCAGTCTTTGGGTAAAATGTTTGTTTAATCACGTTATTTACGCCGTCGGTAGTTGCTTCCCACTCTAAACACATATGCGTTATGCACATATACGTTATCGAACGAATAAATACCGTTCCCTTTTCTGCTCCTCACAAAAAATGTAAATGGTGCTTTTTTAATGTTTGCCAGATGAGAAGAAAATACCTTTGAAACTGCGCAATAATAATATACGATGTTACGTATTGATATCCTCCTGTTTAAATTGTTTTCGTTATTTAATAAATATACATTTCTGATTTTTTGTTCGTTTTTGGGATTACAAAAACTTAAAGAATTACTTGTTACTTGGACAAGTATCGCAAAACAGTTTGTTACACTGCGATATAGTTTCCTTTAGCTTTTGTTTATGTAGAATGAATTACATATATGTAGTACATATTCAGTTCGTTGCTCTAAAGAGACATTCTGAGGTGAGAAGCCTCCGATGTGCTACCTACATGTAGTACGAATTGAACACCGTCGAAGTCATACAACACTATTTGTAAGCTTGACAAGCAAATTAGAACGTGTGGTTGTAAATATTTCACATTCAAATGGAGTTTATTGAGGTTATAAAAGTGTCAAATAAAATTGCTAGCATTGCCTTTTAAATTATACTTGTGAATAAGTTCTTCGTGTTTGTAAACGCATTGTTCTGACAACCGTGAAATAAAACCATCGTGTGAGTATAGTCCATGGTTTAATGGATTCTAATTGAATTCATATGCAGTAAGTGCAGGCTTTCTGCACAGGAGTGGAACGTCAAAGCAAAGAAACGAAATAATAGAATTGCGATATAATCTGACAGAATCTTAAACATTGTGTTTAGTAGTTTATCTACACTACCGTCACCGTTGCTTAGATACGTGTTTCGTTCGCCATGGGGGGGGAAATTGCCTCCGATCAGCCACTTCGGTTGTACAGTGCCTCCGAAGGGGCCTCACTCGTTCTGATTTCTTCGCTTGATTTATTGATTAAAGTTTCCGAGCACGTCAACTGCTATGGTTATTAGTCCGTTAGTGTGGTGAATGTTTTATCCTGGGAGGTGGCGGTGTTCACCCTCACGCCGGATAGTGAGATCCGATGCCCACCTACACGTCGGCTTGTGAGGCACAGCGTTTCCTCCTCCAGGTATCTCTCCTGGCACCCAGACTGCTCTTCCTACATGTGCGGTGGTGCGTGCAAGCGTAAGGGTGCGTAAGGGGGGATAGGACAAGAGAGAGGAAGGAAAGATCGCGCGCGATGCGTGTCCCGTTGTTAAGGCACTGCTCGAGGCATTCGGGTTTGTTCGCTTTTGGTATGAAATGGTCTGTGTGATCAAGATCGTTCCCCTCCGTCCTGTCGCTCCTTGCTTTGGAATTTGAGCCGAATTATCTGAAATCGTAGTTTTAAACATTTTTTATCCGGAAAAACTTTTCCCTTCACTACTTTAGACTTATTTGGCTTACCGAAGTTGATAAATTACTTGAACTACACAACGAAGTAAGAGTAACTTGCTTAACTCTTTTTTTTCGGACTTTTGACTTATATATCCGTCGCACAAAGTGAACTTCGATCCCACCCCTGCTTCATGTCGTAAGCGCAGAAACATGCAATTTTCATGCGATTAGCAGTTAGTGATATTCTCATTTGAGAATATGTTCCCAACTTCAATTCTTTGGTAAGGAAATATGCTGAAGAAATGCTTTTCGTACGAAAGGTTATCAGAGAAACTAATGAGTCTGCTAAGGAGACTTTTAACATTTATATTTCACAATTAATATATATATATATATATATATATATATATAATTCGCATCAACTTATACGCCATTATTGACCACTATTGGCTTTAACGTTATTGTAACTGAGAATAGATGAAATGATGTAATAATAGGGGGTGAAAGGATGAATGATCATTCAATCCGAGATCGCTGCGGCATTAGCGATCTCGGCCATCGGATTCCGGATTCACAAGTTGTTTTTTGTGGATGTTTACAATCACATTACAAGTTCCACGGCCTTATTGAAATATATTCCATTGATTATTATTTTTGTGGTATATTAAAGTGCTTAGTTCTTGTGATTCTGTAAAATTGCATCATTTAATAAAGTGTGTTTTTGTCATCGGTGCTAATAAACAAAATGTTTATAGTTATCATTCGTGACTAGGTAATGAGAATTTAATGGTTATAAATTACACTGAATCATCACAGTCATGGACCTACAGAGATGAAGTCAACTTACAGCAACTCAGCAGAAGTAATTTCCTTCTGAAAAAATACCTACCACTTCAAAATGTATTATCTTCACCAGGAATACAACGAAGAGAAGGTAATAAGCAACGGTAAAGTTAAGTTGTCCTCTCAGTGGACGAAAATGTTATAAAGAGGAGAGTAAGGAGAGAGAATAGAGAGAGCAAAAGAAAATGAGGGAAATGCGGAAGGAATGGAAAAGGAAAGAAGAGGAAAGATAATGAGGGATTATTGTGATTAATTTCATCGAAATAAGAGAATATGATGATAGGGAAATAATAGAAACAGTATGAATTCTCAGCAGTACGCTCTGGAGAAGGCCACGATACTCTGGCCGAAACGTTAGTCACCATGTCAGTGACGCGACTCGTCCCGGATAGCGTAGACAACACAAACTCCGGCCGCGGAAGCCCACGCAACACTATGAATTGTAGAAAAAAATCAATACAACGAAATTGAAGTAATAATGAAAGAAAATTATGTAGAAAATATTAAAGGTCAAAGAGAAACTATTACTTCTTGAAAAGCCAGCTACGTATCTTAGAATAGAAAGGTAGGGAAATGTAATATGGAGAACAAAGCAGACAGGACAAATTGTGAGACCTCTAGGAGTATAGATGTAAACTTTGTCGTTATTGTTTTACATTAAATCATGTATATTCACGGTTCATTCAGAACAATTTGCAGCTATATTTTACTGACCAAGACAGGGCACATTTGCTTCAGCGGTAACGGGGTTCACATTTAGAAAAAACAATGGATATTTTACCCTTATAATTTTATTAGAGAATGTAATGGAAAACGATAAGGTCCCTGACCTATCATCCTAATTATAATTCAACCATTCTATATTCCCCTACCGCTCTCTGGGATACTAGAAGGAGACTGAGGAAGAAAGGAGGATCTGCAAGTAATTTTCTGGGATACACCGAACCATGTGCTTACACGGAAGATCTGCGGGTGCAAAAATCTCTTGATTTTGCAAGTAATGTACAAGACAGAGTGTTTCATAGTACAATATCAAAATTAATTACAAGGAATAATTCGTAAACCGCTTCGTGTATTAAAAATGATTCCTAGGAATGGTACATTTATGAAATGGCAGAATTAATTTCTTTTTTACTAAAGTGAAAGAGGAGTTGTTAGAGCCCGTATCTAAAGCGCTGCAAAACGTAGCGGTTCCTTCTCAATGGATCACACTGCGTAAACGTCCGGAATGGCTATGTTTTTGTGCAATTAACAGGTCTTCAGCGAGTGTGAGCCCCGGTCGAGTTGCGTCACGCACGAGCCGCTTTGGATTCCCGGGCTGAGAGTTGAACGCCATGACTGCGGCTTTTTGTCAGGGATTCGCCCGCCCACTCTGAAGCAGCGCTCAAACCAGTACCGATACAAACATGTAGCGTGCACTTTTCTTTGTACTTTTTTATCACATTCAACTTATAGCGCCCTGTGCAACGAAGGCATGATGTCCAAGAGCACATACATGCTATCGTCGTTGGTATAGAAATCCCTAATGATGTTAGCGATTGCAAAATTATAACATTAATATTAACCACCGACCAATTATTTTTTCAGACTGAAAATTTGAAAATATGGATGAAACGGTCTAGTCCAATACATTAATGTATTGTACTTTAACGTTCACAAAATTATATTATCGATCTACAATAATCTTCAAATACTTTACATTGCCAATAGATGCCAAAAATAGATCGGTTGGTTGCTGTCTTTTTTTTTTGTCTGACAACATTTTATCTAATTTAGCATATTTCAAAAACAGTTTCCTTTCTAGACTTTAAAATGCTATAGTATTGATATTTTTGAAAATCTACATGTTCTTAAAACACATTACATATTTACTACTGAATGATACTATGTGACACCGATATATTATGATACTACCTTTTGTCCATGTCAATAGTTCCTTACCACACTAAACATATCTCTCCGGGAAGACAAATCGTATGATTCATCGCCTGTGATTTCTATCTGGGTTAAGTACCGCCCCGTCCCGTTACCATAATAGTCGTGGGCGTACGCGGTACTCTCGCAGCGCACATCCTATTCCGAGCGATGCTTACGGCCGCCGTAAAGCGAGGCGCCCCGCCCCCTCCCACGCGCACGTCCCCGCGCCCGCCCCCGCGCGCCCGCGCTGCCCCGCGCCCACCGCACTTCCGACGTCCGCCCACGCCCTGTGCCCGCCCATGATCCTGCCCCGCGCCCGCCCCCGCCTCCACGCCACGCCTGCCCCCGGAGCGGCGGCGACCTGTCAATGAGCGGCCCAGGGCTGCGCCCCCGCCGGCCACGCGTGCTCGCCAATAGGCGCTCTAGTCACGGCGCCTGCGCGACGAGGCGCGCGCAGCTTAATGAATATTCTGCGCGCGTGCGCGAGGGTGACATGCGGAAGCGGCGTGGGTGGGGTGTGGCGGTATAGGGCAAATCGGTGAAGAATGGGGCGGGATGGACTGCGACAGGTGGGCTAGGGTTTCAAGGGGTGAGATTAGAGGGCAGGTGGGAATGGGACCTTATGTTCAGACAGGGCATGTTGGGACAGGGCATATGGGCAGGTTGGTGGGCTAGGGGGGAGGGCGGGAATGATATGGCCATTGGCAGGATGGAAATTGACGCTCCCTAGGTTCTCTAGGCTCTTTGACTATGGTTCCTGAGGTCACAACTATGTGATGCCCGTTTTGCGCTAGACGAATTACTGAATTTAGGTCTTTAGAACATGTATTGATTGTATAATTGTAGATTTCCAGTCATAAATAGATGAGATGGTTCCGGTTCGCACAAAGAGAGTGGTCAGGTTGTGTTGTTTCTCTGGCGATAATATCTGTGGCGAGATAGTTTTGGTATTGCCTCTGTACGTCTATACACACTTAATGTAAATTAGTGTAGCTTACTTACACATTACCCCAACACTGAACCTAAACGTACTATATGATATTCGTACTTATTCAATATTTCTAAATGCTAAACACCCTCGAAGTTTAACCGAGAAAATAATAAAAATGTTTACCACACTAAACAGCCTTTCGTTTCTGTCTGTTTTGGGGAGGACTTTTGGAATCCAAATATCTCGTGCGTAACTTATCTCATGATCGGTCTGACTACCTTCCCAATGTCAAATGGAGCGATACTTCTCGTTTGAATCCGATTCAATCCACCTGCTCAAATGGAGTCAAACTCGTCTCCGTGGCATACATTACATTATAGAACATGGAAGTAAAAATATCACGAGACAAACCATGAATTATTCACAAAGAATACTTGTTTGTGGGTGAGAGACACGACAGTTTCAATTATCATAAAAATATTTATAGCGTAAAAGTTTAAACGCTTCACCTAGGCAGCCTTTCGAAAGTCAGAGTCACTATTCGTTATTCGTTTCGACTACATTTTAATAGCTTCGCGGATCACATAACTAGATCAGATCAGAATTACAAGTTTTTTTACTATTAAATGCAATAGAAGTTTCAAAAGACTAAAATATTTTATTTCATATTTTGCTTCACAACTTCTTTTTACACGATTCTTTTCTAAGGGCGTCAGATAATTTTCATCAAACACGACTAAAATCCTTTTTCTGCTGTTATTACCGGGATTAATTTAAGATTTCTTGGAGCAAGAGTCAATTTCAAAGAAGCAAAATTGTCTACTAAGAAAATATATTAAAGCCCTTTGCCACCATTTCTGACTGAAGACAAAAAACGAGAGCGCGGACTTCAAAGTCTTTCATAGACAATCAAACATAAAGTAAGTGTTTAAAATTAGAAGGTTAGGAAGCCGGTCGCTTTTTGAGCCGGGCCCGGCACACAGGCTCATTGGTTCAAACGGAAGTTTGCGGAAAGGGTGGGCGAGTTTCTTGAGCGCAAATATAAACTCGCCGTATTCCGAGCCTCGCGTCAAAGAGATCTTCAGCGCTTCATATACTTAGCTCCTTTTTCTTATTTTTTGGCAAATAAAACCACAAATATTCCTCGCAAATCTTCAAAATCTGTGGACAACGCTCAAACCTACGAACCGGATGTTACCATCAATTGAGATTATTCATGCTGTTGATGGACGTGTGGTGTGTTGCTATAATGCGTTCTTTATTTAGCTACCACACACTTGTATAAATACATTGTAGGTATCATATCTGAAATTATTATTTAATTGAATTAAAATATTGATTTAATATTTAAATAAAAATCAAATAAACGAAATTGTTGGGTGTTTAAAACAATAGACGTAAAGTACACAATGAAAGTGTCATTTACTTTATTGGATTTTAGAATAAGGAAAATTTTAAGTTTAATACCGTAATGATAAGAGGAATTACAAATTCATTACAGTATATTTTGTTGTTGCGTGAGTGCGTTAATTGATAATTCAAATATTCGTTGACAAAAGCTTTTTTTTGCATTATTAAGAATTTGCATTCCAAGAAGTTATAGGATCCTTCGATAGCCTTTCTATTGATAGTAAACAAAAAATTAGCCTAAATTGACCGGGGACTGAATACAATGTTAACGATCCGATAACGTTATTGCCGGCCTGTATGGTCGGCGTGGCTCAGAGTGTGTACCAACCCAGCGCTTCGGTCTGAAGGGTCGCGAGTTTGAGTCCCGCCTTGGGAGTGGTTGTTTGTCCCTTGTCGCTTGTTCCACGTACATGTTCTCGCGGAAGGCCTCGCATTCTACTGCTCACAGATGAAAGGAGTTTGCAAACGATTGTGTTGGTGTCTAGTGTATGGTCGACTGTACGTCCCAGCGGGGCGTAAAGGGTAACCGTCTGTCTGTTGGTTAAAATCCCTAGAAAAGAGAGGACCCGGACTTACAGGAAACGTGTTTGTAAAGAGTTTCATAATCACCACGTAAATTGTCTCATAGAATTGTGTGTGGGGGATTACTAGAACTGCTAAAACAATATATTCTGAAATAATAAATAACGATCAATTAAATAATTATTTACGCCCGATTCAATTGTTATAATATGAAATATTTTTATTTGCGCCATCGTGAATAATAAGTTTACATAATAATAAATAGAAACATCCACTGACATTTGTGTTTGATGAACCTCTGATAGTTTATATACTGAAATAGTTTATACACTTAGTTTGTAATGTTAAGTTATATTGCATTAATACATATTTTGAAAACGAGCGACAATAGGAGTGTGTTTCAAATTTGTACGAATGCAACGAAACAACCCTATAAACGAGTTCCATACGCTATTATTTTTATATAACAGCATTAAATTTATAAAAGAATGAAACGTAATTTCGCGAAACAACTTTCTTGTGACGTATAGGATATTTGACTTCTGTGCGAGAAAACAGAGATCGGCTGTTGCGTTTACCACTACACCCCACTATTCAGTCAATCTCTTTGCGATTGGCTGAACGTGTGATGGCGCAATCATTCGTGCCATAAAATGCCCGATTATGAACGATTTCTTGCAACAGAAAAGGTCGATTATAATACTGGACTACAAAAAACAACTTTTATTCCGCATAGTTTATTTCGTTTCGCACTGAGCTTCATATGGCCGTCTTCCCTTGTTGCAGGCTGGCAGCGGCAGCGTGCAGGGGGCGCGAGCGGGCGCCGTCGGGGGGCGGCGGCGGGCGGCAGCGGCTGCGGGGCTTCGAGCGCGCCGCGGTGGTGCGCGCCGCCGACTTCGGCCTGGAGCGCATGCGCGTGCTCCTGGAGGAGTACGAGCCCCGCATCTACCGGCGCGGTGAGTCTGCCAGCGGACCGACGAGGATCACAGAGGCTCTCTGGTCTAATGGGGAAGGGTTGGGCGGCTGGTTGATTGATGTTTGCAGGCACGCCAACTGCCTAGGTCATTTCCCCCGTAAGTGTAGTTGACGTTTCATGCGTGGAGATGGTGGTGCTCCTTCCCCGCTGGCTGGCGAGATCCGAGGCCGACATTCACGTCTTCGGGGTCCGCGGAAATCCTGCCTAGGGAGCACCGCCACAAACAGGACAGGATCTTAGCTTACCAATGGTATCATGACATATGTGAGGATGTAGTGCAGCTAGGTGTGTGTCTCTTTTTTAACCAATTTGGAAAATTATTAACGCCATTTAGGGATCAGTGAAATCTTTCTTCAGAATTTTGGATCGATAGAAGATTTGGAGCGATTGAAAATATTATTCAAAATATATACCTTAATTCCACATTTCTTTTTTCATTCACTTTGTATTAATATTACCTAACTGTCCTGTCTGTAGGCTCGGCCGCCCGATACGGGCCTTGGCCGTCCAGCGGTGGCCCAACCTCTTGGCCATGGGATAAGGGATTCTTGTGGTTAGCAATAAAACATCGCTCCACCGTATAATACTGGTCTTCATAACCTTAGGGTGGGCTTCCTCATCGTAACACAGCTATAGATACTGGAGCACTTGTAAGGAAAGCGCACAGATATAATGTTGCCCCGGCCGGGAATCGCAACCGGGGTTGCATCGTGAAAAAGCGAGCGCGCTACCCAACGAGCTATTGAGGACTTTCTACACAACTGCATGATTAAAATTGTTTATTGACTTGAGATGTAACAATTAATGTTCAACATATGGACATGTAAAAATAAGAAAAATATCGGAAATATAATCTTATAATACGATCGTAAATGGCTTACTTGTGTATGAGTGTAAGGCGCGGCGTTGCACATTAATGTTTAGGTTATATTTGACCATGTTATATATGTATAAATTTTCATGTCAGTACGTTGTTCGTTTCAACTCATCACTGTCACTATGCTCGAGTCACATGTTGTTATGACGCAAGGTCTCTCATACTACTCTCGTGCTCACTTCTTTTTGTCATTCCTTCATTCGCTTATTTACTTCTCACATTCTTTAATCTACTCAAAGGGTTATCAGTACCAAAAGTCAAACACCCGAACTTCGCAAGAATTTATGAACTATTCAAAGCTAGCGTGACCGGTGCTTGTATGGCCGAGGACATAAACGAGCTTTCTCTCATTGCGTATTGCGGGCACGCACGCTGAATGAACGCGCAATGTTCGCGCCCAAGTGCGAACGTTTATCACTGAGGACGTGTGAATACAAAACACCGGTTTCACAACCATCAATTTGATGGTATCGCGTTTGTGGCAGATTGTTTGAAACACGCACCAGTTCACATTTCGGTTACGCCTGGAGCTGTCTAGGCATTTGGAACTGCACAATGTATGTGTTGAACCACGGACTGTAAACCCTTCTAAAGGTACACGCAGGTGTAATTCTCGCTTTCTGCTCTCTGAACACATTTTTTGCCCCTGATGTTTGCGTTGCTGTGATACGTGAGGTACCGTAGCTGCGTGGAGAGTTTTAGTCTATCAATGTTGCTCTCATAGTGCTGTATATTTTTGGGACACGTGTAACATTTTGCTGATAAAATAACGTTTTTTTCTCTATTTTTCGTGCTCGCCAGGAAATTTCTTTAATTGCTTACTTTGCCATTGTTAACATTCACAAACATATCGCAAATTGACGCCCGAACATACTTTCTTTACAGATGATTGTATACAAATAACGAGTGTTAGCAAGAATATACTGCATAGTTTTCGATGCAATAGTGTTGTTTTCATTATGTGCGCGTTCATTTTTTGTCATTTATATATATATATATTAATATATATATATATATATATATTAATATATATATATATATATATAGCAAAGACCTCTAATTTTAACGGAAATAAATTTATCTTTTTCCCGTAAGTTTTCAATAATTTACCATTATTAACAGAAGTACATTACCCACAAAGATCCATATCATACATATATTGAAAAGAAATAATGATTAATTAATTAATTTAAAAAATATAAAATATACTGAAATTGTTAAAAGCTTGAAAATTAAAGATTAGCATGTGTGAGATTTGTTTTGGAACCAGTTATTTAAAAAAATAATCATCAAAGATAAGTTCATAAAAATTCAAGTTTGACTAATCCTACTGAAACGTCTTTATAAGGCAGTGATCGCAGAATGTGTTCGATGAGCGCTCTCAGGTTTCCTATAAATTAGCATTACCCACCAATTTATTGAAGATTTGTACAAAAAATATTTGAAATTCAATTACCACTTCATTCTCTTGAGCAAGACCCGTGATAATGCCATCTTTATTCAGAAATGTTTCTGTACCTTTTTTTAATATTCTTACAGTCACTGACAATCACAAATCATTTATTTTCAATTGTACACATACAACAAGCCTTAATACATCCTAGATCTTAAAGAACAAAGAAGACATTCATTGATAATTCTGTGACGATGATTCTATAATTTCATTTCCGGATCTTTTAAGAAGAGTGCGTAAGTTGGATTTCCTGCGAGTCACACGAGCAGTGAATATATACACCTGGAATAGTTAAAACACATTTAAATACGCGTGAAACCAACATCACATTCAGTATCTACATTATCAATTAACAATGCGCACCAAATTGAAAGAAATGCAACACTATGGCCATGAGACAGATGTCTGTGGTTTTGTTAGATAAACAGGAACTCGGGAAAATCCATAAACAATGAAACAGATTCGGTTTGGACTGAAATATCCAAAAATTTGATTGCGTTATTCCGTCTAACTGCACCTACTGAATTTCAACACTGAATTCTCACTGCTTACAGTTTACGTCATGTGATACCAAACTATTCTATATCGTATTGAAGTCTATGGATTAAATGATTATTTTTTTGTTTTCGGGAGCTCAAACTGCTAGGGTCATTACTTCCTTAGGTGTACTGCGTTTTGTCGTGGGAGTTGGCGGTGATACTCCGCTGGGACGTGAGGTCTGGCGCCAACCTACGGGTCGGCTTGAGGGGTTTCTCCCCTAGTTATGTCCCTCAGATGGGCTCCGTCCCTGGGGGGGAAACTGTAGGCTTACGCCCCCCCCCCCGTCTCCCGATATGTGTTGTAGCGTAACGCGTGCGTGTAAGAGGAGAGTGTGGGACAGAGTAGAGGAAGGAAAGATCGTGCGAAATTCTTGGTCCTTTTGCTCCAGCAATGCTCCGGAATTCGCTTAGTATTGATCGGAGAAACTACGGAAAACGTCTTTCACAGCAGCCATCTCTTGAATTCTCCTCCACGCAGTGGCTGAATTCGACCCAGCTATCTCCCTAGAGTCGAAATTTACCTGCAATGTCGCATTGGTGGAGTATTGATCGAGGACAGTTGTTTTCCTCTCCCCGAAAACAATTTGCATAATTTCTGTTAGTAGTTGATTCTTCGCCCTGCGACTGTGCGTTGTGTGTTGCGGGTTGCAGGCGCGGTGCTGGGCGCAGGGGCGCCGGCGCGCTACGTGGCAGCGTTCAACGCGCAAGGCGCCCAGGAGCGCAAGCTGGCGCAGTTCGGCTACGCGGCGCTGCAGGCCACCTCCATGCTGGTGCGCGGGTGAGTCCCTGCCTACCCTCGCTCGCCGTGACTCATTTGTCGTAGGGGCCGACTACGGACCTGTGTCGCTGTATTGCATTGAAAATCAGAAACGAACACAAAATCTCGTCGGAAACCATGAAGGTGAAATAGCTGTTGCTGCAATACTTTCTGCATTTTTTGGAATGTTAATTTCAGCTGATTTCTTTCTCGTTTTGTCATTACAGCCTTCGGCTGCCTTTGGCTGCCTTCGGCTTCATTCTTACGATCCGTGCTTCGTTCCGTTCGTACGATCCGCGCTTCATTCCGTAGACAATGACAATAAAAATATTTTTTTAATTATGTTTGCCATCTGGGGACAATGGCTCAGAAATGGCCACTTTAGAATAACGTTCCATAAGTTAGATGGCCATTTCTTCTTCCCGATGGTACTTACATAAATCATCGCCTCTTATCGAACGTATTTGATTTATTTTTGAAGTAAAAAATTGTATCTGCAAGATTTGCCGTGCAGAAATTCACGAGCTCTCACTCGACATTATTTTTGATATGATGATTTCATTTTGCTATGGATTCCTAAATTTTCTATTTCATTAATTTCTTCAAATGATTTTAAGTTCTCTAAAACTATCCATGAAGCTAACCATGAACCATGACACTAGCCATGGCAAGATTGGCACGCTCCCTTTTAATCCTCGTACCATATCTTCGATTTTTTTATCAAGTACTATACCTGGTGTCTTTCTGGATCCCAAGCTTTACTGACAATTGAAAGTGATAGAGACGACTGAGTCGTATTTGGTGCAAAAACTTGTTTTTATACAAGAATAAAATGTTTAAGATATTTTATATAAGATATTAAATACAATTTATACATATTAATATTTCATATAAAGAATAACATCCACCACACGTAGACTACATTCTTGATTCATAATGCTTCGGAAATATTTATAAGAATTTATGGAAGTTATTCCGAGATAAATCAATTATCAGACAAAAATTGACGGTATCAGACACACTTTTTGTAAGTTCATGACAATATGTTTCAAATGAGAATGGGAAAAATTTGATATGTGAAAAAGGTTTGGTGTCTGTTTAATAAGTAAACAAAGGCATTTCTAAAAGACCTGCCTTCAGAGATTATCCTGCAAATATTCAGAAAAATATTAACAAATTAATGATGATGGAATTCACAAGATATGGTACGAAGATGATTGTGAATCATTCTGAATGAGGAGGCCAAGGAAGGAAGACGAAATCTGCGGAAAGACTTTTAATGTTTTATCCATGAGGACTGCATCGTAGGCAACCCTTCTGACATCAATGTGTACGTTCCTGCCTACCCAGAACAAACGCAAAATAATAAATAATGCAGTATATTGTAGAAAGAAATAGACTTTTAGGAAGTTATACTAATTTGGGATATTGTATAACAATTATACTAATTTTGGAATTTTGCAAGCTAAAAGGACGTGCATTTCAATACTTATGTGTATGACTCCGGCAATAACTGCCCACATTCGACCATAGTTCTTTATATCAGAATGCTTGTCGGTGACTTTCCTATCACCATTCTCAATAGGCATTTTACGGAAATACTATTTTATGCTTAATTTAATTTGAAATAAATTAGTGTTACTTACGAGATATCTTATACTTTTTTGTATCCGGTGAAGAAAAAATCTGTTAAAAACATAAATTAAGTCACTGTGGTAGTAATTTAAATGACACTGAGCGAAGTGACTCAGTGCGTAGCGCTCTGACTTCGCATTCGGGAGGTCCGGGTTCGATTCCCGGATGGGTCATCTTGACCGGGGTTTTCGTGGTTTCCCTCGGTCATAAGGCGAATGCTGTGATGGTTCAAAAAGTCCACTATCATCTTTCTCCAATATCACCTCCTAAACCAATAATAATAATAATAATAATAATAATAATAATAATAATAATAATAATAATAATAATAATA